GACTGAATCAAGTCTTGGCAGGAGGGCTGAATACTCAGCGCCCGTCAGCTGAAGCTGTGGACTAAAAGGGGCGAGAGCAACCGTGCAGTCTAAGTCTACTTAAGACCAGGTATTCGCATCTTCTCCACACTGAAAAACACCTAGGGTAACACGTTTGTCTGTCCAACTTAGTAGAATCGTTGTGCGATTTAAACCGGCTTGGATTGCGTAATGATGAGAGACAGATATTCGGATTCAATCTCCTTGCCAATCGCACCTCTTGCCTCTTGCAGCAAATCGAGAAAGATGTGGGTGTGTGTGTGTGGGTGTGTCTGTATGTGTGTGTGTGTGTGTGTCGCAACTGTCCGTCCAGGAGTGCATGCCAGGGCATCCGGCTATGTTTGTAGAGGATGCAAGAAGCGACCTTCGTTTGCAGTGCCCAGACTTCGTGCCTGTCCCGGTTAAGATGGTGATGGTCATGCTGGTAATGATGATGAGGACGACTACGATGATGATGTGGCGGTGATTACTATTATGACTCTGTCTTATATTTCTGGTGATGATGATATTGACGCTGAGAATAATGATGCTGCTGCATATTATAGTTACTTTTCGCTATGCTCATTGATTCTTGTGTTCGACGAGACATGTCTTAGTCTTGAGGGACATTTGCCCCACATTGCCAGGCACGCTTGGGCACCGCTCTCTCTGCAGGCCGACGTTGTGTGCCAGGAGAGACCTGAGTGTGCTAATTAGCCAATCAGTGTTTGAACGTGTTTGTGCAACCATTCTGTGCTGCACGGAGTCCTTGAAAACACGCAGTTTGCACATGGCATGCTTGGGTCGCTTTGAAGGCAGTGAACTTCCTGTGATTTTCCTATTCAAGGGTTGCCCGGTTCCCAAGTACAGCTTCGGCCTCTGGAGTGGCTAGACTGCTCCGCGATGGGGAAGAGCTGCAAGAAGCGCCCAGCAGCTGCCAATCCTTCTGCTGAGTCTCAGAAGCCAGCAAAACGACATCTAGCAGAGATTGCACGATTGCAGCAAGAGACTACAGATGCTCCCTTCAAGCCGCGGGAGTACCTTGAAGGATTATGCCAGCAGTTAGGAATTGGCTCCGTTTCGGGGGAAGTCATTCCATGGGCTTCGGCTTTCGATGGGGCAAATGCCCCTGGAATGGTGATGAAAGTCTTGAAGGATGCCCGAGGTTTTATTCCGCGACACATCTGTGGCAACCTGGCTGCGCTCATTTTTCAAAAAAGAGCACAAACGAATGTCCATTGCCTTGTGTGCAGTATATAATCCATGCAAGGTGCGGAGAAGTGCCGAGCAGCTGCATTCTACTGTTTGCGGAACTACAAGTGCTCACATGTCTTCCAGGACGGCAGGTCTCGTTTGCCTCTGCTGCCGGGATTATCCTGTAGCACAGAATTTATTGTCTCGACAGGATTGCGAAACGTTGGACAAGAAGACTGGCTTCTGCTGGACCCACGGGAAAATGTGTGAGACACCAAACTGCTCCAGGGTCCTCTTCTTCCTGGGCGGCTTTGTCTGCAAAAGCACGTCCAAGCAGAATCCTAGCTGCAAACACTTCTTGCAATGTGCCACTTGAAGATGCCATGATTGTGCACTCGTGCTCAAGGAGTGTCAATCGCTTCTTCGAGGATCCCCTGAAACAGGATGCTGAAACGATGATTACGTTCGAGACGATGCTTCGTGTGCTGGTGGCCCACAAGCCGCCGACATTCGTGCTAGAGAATGTCATGGGGACAAAGAGCTCCAGCCAGCAGGTAAGTTCATGCTTCACAGTGCCTCGCGCGAGTTTCCTGGATCACGAACGTCAGCTAAGGATGAGGAGGGTGAACAAGGCCGACGAGCAAGATCCAGATGCCTGTGCGCCTGACCTGTCGAAGTACAAATGCCCTCTTGATTATTGTTTGGACGCCTTGCAGAAGAACCTTCCTGGTTACACCTTGGCTGTGGTTGAGATCGACAGTCATCCGCTCCCTGAGGAGCGGAAGAGGGTATGGATCCTGGGATCCTCTTCTGTCGCTTTCTCCGCCGATGCGTGGAAGAAGGAGGTGCTGGCCCTGGAGCAGCAGCAGCTACCAAAGCACCACTTGAGCAGTTTCTTCAAACTGTATGGCCAGCAAGCCGGTGCCACCATGGATGTTGATGCAGACAAGGACAGCAGAAAGCAGCCCAACCTCTGGGATGCTGAGAAGAAATATTCTGCTGCATATGCTGCTGCGGTTGAAAAGGCTGTGCAGGCGAAGCGGCTGAGCGATGATTTCAAGCCACCTCCAAGGCATGAGCGACCGAGTGCCAAAATGGGCAAGCACCTGACGCCTTGGATGCAAGCAAATTGCGATGTCTACAGCGCGATTCTACTCCAGCAGCAACGGGAGATCGAGGAGCAGATGCCGTCAATTCCAAGGGCCCCCTTTCCTGTTGCGGATGTCATGCAGAGCGTCTCGCGTGGACATTTAAGCCTCAGTGGCCACTGGGGGACACTTTGCACATCATCGAAGCTGATGCACATGGACACCTTCCAGCTCATGCCGGGCAGAGGGATGCTTGCTATGCTCGGCAACACAGTGGAGAATCACGTGCACCTCGGCCTCAGTGAATCGGAATTGGCCAGCCTTGCAGGCAATTCCATGTCATTCACTCAGTTGTCGCGCGTTCTTCTCCCGCTCGTGGCACACCGTCGGTCCATCCTGACGCAGCCTCCCAGGGCATAGTAAGTTTCACATGTAGCGCAGGTGATGGCAGTGTGATTTTGGGAGCAGCTCTCATGCAATTGCTCCGTGCAAAGCATTTCCACGACATGCGGTGCGACGCTGCCTTGGTTCACCTCAGATGCCTGACCGGAGCATGTCAGCAAGAACAGGGAATCAGATGTGGAAGTTGATTTAGTTGCTCAGCTTTCATGCATGAGTCTCTGTTGCCACGCGATTGCATCAGACATCATGAGCTCACTATGCTATCTGATGGAAAACAGTTTGGACCAAGTGCTGCCAAAACAGCTTGCCGATCCTGCTAGCAGCTATGATGTCTGCCGATAATGACAGGACCCAGACTCCGGCTTCTTTGCGAGTCTTATGGTATGGCAAGGGGGTGAACTCAGCTATGTGCTTGTCTTGCGAACAAGAAGTGATTACACTTGTACCGAAATTGGAGCATATTGCTGTGCTCGGCAAAGTGCGGTATTCCTCGAAGTGGCCCCGATTGAGATCCTTGCAAGTGGCAGATGGGCAACAGCTCCATCTCAAAGCCGCCACAGGCTGCACAGATGTCTTTGTCGGCACTGTTGGCCGGGGTGAGCTGCAGGATGCTTTGAAACAGGCCACGAACGTCCGGAGTGTGACGGTGATTGGTCTCATGCTTCTTGGCGAGGGTCCTGCAGTGGACTGGCAGAAGCTTGCGGTAGATGGTTGGAGCCACGTCTGCCATGAAATACCGTGGGCCACCTGGACCCCGTTTGATGTTTCCAGCAGCCTCCTGCTCTTGACAAGAAAGCCTGGCCTTGAGCAGGCGCTGCACGCCAAGTACAAGCAGGTTTCTGATGAGATGACGCAAAATGCCACGAAGAGCAAGCTGTCTTATCCCTTCAACGAATATGCTGCCATGACCCCTGTCGAGAACACCTCGGACCTGATCAATGTCCAGCAGGCAGGCAACGATGTGATCTTCTATGTCATGGACAAGGCCAAGAGACAGAGAGTCACAGCCCAGATTCCAGCCGCAAGAAGCAACCAGGCGGTGATGTGTTCAGGTCCGTGGACTGGGGTGCGAAGGCTTGAAGCTGTGGATTGGCTTCTGATGATGGGGTACAGCGGTACCGTGGTCAATGGTCACTTGAACAGCGAAGCTGCGCAGATGTCAGTTGTTTGCAATTCCATCCCACGTCAAATGGCCGAGCTCTTGTTGAAGGTCGTTAACCATGCCGCGGCCTTGTGAGCCCCGAGCAAACACGATTTTGAGCATGTCCTTTCCTGAGCTTGCGTTTTCGGGTGCCAGACAGCTTCGTCATCAGGAGATGCAGAAAGAAATGCATGTTCGGCCGTCCTGTCAGTAGGTGACTGCATAAACATGGTTGAGCCTCTTGTGCTGCATCACTTCGCTGCATGACACCTTCTTCCGAGAGTTATTCATGCTAGCTGCCGTTTCTCTGAGACTGGTGCGAGCTCCTGTTGAACCTGTGCTCACCCTGGACTTCGGTCTGGGGTGTCCAGGCGCGACGGCTTATATTCAGGTTGTGCTCGCCCTGGACCCAATTCCAGGGCGTCCAGCCTGCAAGGTTGTTGCAGGGCTCTAGTCTTGCTTTGCTTTGCTGCTGCTAGTGGGTTCCCAAGGGCTATCAATAGTTCAGAGTCCAGAGCTTCGGAATGATTGAATGCATATTCATCAGTCAAATGTATTCACACATGCCAGGCGACAGTCTGGGCAAAATTAAGGGTTACGGGTGTACATAAGCACTGGGATTTTCGGACAGACTTGGCTACTGATGCACCCGTTACAAGATCGATGGCTCGTTTTTCGGTCCGTGTTTCCCTGTGCTCCAACTGCACATGTAACGACGCGATGCAAGTCGAGATGCCAATTAAGAACCTCATACAGATTGGTGATTCCGGCTGTGCTTTCCTCTTGCTTGCAGGCATCATCGGCTGGCTGAGTGCTGGCCAAACCGATGAGTGTTTCTCTTGCAGAGAAGAAGGATGGCAGTTAACACAGGGCTATAGAAAATCCAGGCTTCTGCAAGAGAGACATTGGAGTCCGTTTGTGCAGCAGATCTAAAAAGAGTTGAGGGCAGAACGGGGGCACGATGGCATGTTGCTGCTTGCCGGTAATCTGATCATGTTGGGGACCCGGCCCCCCGTAGAGGGATCAAGCAGTAAGAATTAAATTTTTACTCACAGCCCAAACTGGTACCAGTTTAAGGGTTTAGGGTTGAGGGAACCGTAAACCCATACTTAAACCGAGGCACATTGAACCACATCCACCCCAAGACCGGCAAGCCAATGACCTGCGATCGCATGATCATTGGAGAGAGCCTTCGTCTGTGGTTCGGTTCCGTTGGCGCCTTTGAAGCCTATGTCCAGCAAGAGGTGGGGGGATTCTTGCAATTGGGGGCACCTGTGTCTATATGGTACAGATCCAGTATTTGGGAGTGCGTATTGGGGTCAGAAGGATCCCTGAATGGTTTGGGAAACTCGCAGGTGTCAGCTGCTTTCAAGGATCGACTTGGAAGCTTGCCTTTGCCGTATTCTTGGATCGTCGGGAGCACGATTCCAGCTATGTGGCTTGCGCTTCTATGCTGAATTGGGCCTTCGTGTGGCTTCAGACGGATTAAAAGCATCTTGTTTGGAGAAGTGCAGCTAGCGGTCGTTTTCGGTGGCTGAGAGACTTAGGCTCAACGATGCCATCGAGCACATCTATGCAGGAAGATCTCTGGAAGGCGTAGCCTTTGTGTGCCTTTGGCAGCAGACTCACAGTCTTCTGTGTCCCTTGTCCCATATGTTCCTGTAATATAGGGGCCTTATTAATTGCAATCCCATTTTGGTCGTTCCTCATTATAATTATAGTATAATGGGCCCCGAAACCCTATTATTATTATTAATTATTATTATTATTTTTTTATTGTTATTATTTTTATTATTATTATTGTTATTATTGCTATTATTATTAAGGCGCCTGTACTACGCCCATCTTCGCCTTGCAGGTTCTACGTGCTGTGCTGGTGGTTGGTCCTTTTTCCGGTGATGATCTTCCTTTGGATGAAGGTCGTCCTCCGGCTCCGAAGACGCTTCTCCCAGCTATGGCAGGACTTAGGGGTACTTAGAAGTAGTTTTTAATTTTTGGTTATTATAACCCCTAAGAAACAGCTAAAATTGTAATTTTTGCTAGGGTTCTAAGTTCAGTATAGAGGAGATCATCGTCAACCTCGCATGCACCGTGGTCTTCGGTCTGCTCTACCTCATCCTGGCCCTTTTGGAAGGCCTCTCTTTGTGCAAAATTGGGGGAAAGAAGGAAGACCTGAAAGAAAGGACCCGAAGCCGTCCACACCCGAGCCAGCTTCCCACGGTCATTCTCAGGTTTCATCTTTGCGAGCCTCAGTTTCCTGCAGTGGGACATGGCACTGACAGTTTATGCTTCTGCAGCATGGGTTTTGTCTGGTCTGGTTGGATTCTTCCTTTGGTTGAAGTCAGCCAGAGCTCCATCGCGAGAGGCAGAGGCTGAATTGGCCGAGACTCACCACGAACTTCAGGTTCCCACATAGTCGTGATTACCGCAATATGCGGCTTGCGAGGTGTTGCAAGCCAGAAATGCGGGCTGGTAGCCTAAAGGGCCACCATATTCATTTTTCCGGCTCAAATGATGTAAGTTTGATGCCAGCTTCACGCGAAAGTAGGAGACTAGACACTTTGCATGCCTTTCAAGTTCGGCATGCAGTGCAGAACCCATTGTTAAGTCTTTGCTTTGATGTCTCTCTTAATGAGAGGAGGATGGGCAAAGTGGATGCTCAAGCAATTTCGCGGGTTGACTGCAGCTACCCAGGGACGCAAACTGCTGTTCCTGCCCTGATTGTACCAAGGGAAACCCCAACCTTCTTGTCGGAGTTATCATAGACAATCAATCCTTGCTGATCCCTGTAGAAAAGCAGGGTGGTGGGGCTCTCTATGCAAACTTAATGTAATCCCAACATAGAGCCTTCAAACAAATGGCTTTCGGGTTCGCTCTGGGGTTGGTAGGAAGCTTGGGATTCTGCACGTTCTGAACTTCGGTCCCTCATTGATCTTCGTCAGCTGCTTCTTGAGGCGAAGCCGAACTAACTCGATTGAGCCTCCCCGCAAAACTCGGAAGCACGGAACTCCTTCCGAAAACCCTAAACACCAAAGGGCTTGGAGGAGGCGTGGGGAGCTGGAGCCTAGGATTGGGGAAGTCCGACGATGTGCCTTTCAGCTACATGGATACTTCCTTAAATTTGTCCCCCTTTGGATCAGACTTACACATGTTTCTGCGTAGTCAGAGAGGGACCAAAAACCCCAGCATAGCCTTCCCAAGCAAAGTGCCAAAGTTGCAGACTGCCGAAAAACAAAATCGACCTCGCTTGAACTGCTCGTCCCAGGTCTGGAGGGCCTCGGTCCTCGCGTTGCTAAGCACATATTTGGGAGTTTCCGAAAAGAAGGGGTACCTTATTTTGTGGTCCTGGTAATAAGGAACCTACTACAACCCGCATTTCTATTCTCTAGTTATACTCGGTATGATATGCACATATCACAGTCTACGAAAGCATCAAGGGGACTGCCTTGAAAGGGAAGACTTTCTGTAAGCTCGACCTGTGCCCCGAAAGTGCAACATTAAACGCGACGAGCTGCACCTCGAAGCATTCTGCGGCAGCAAAGTTCATGTCAACCTGTGGCACAAGGCTATGAGTGCACTCTGTGCAGTGGATTCGAGTCCTTCTTCGTGTATTGCTCCTCAGATGTCCACTAATTTCCTGGAGATGGGAAGCTTCGGTCTGAAGATTCGGAATCTACAATATGGGAGTTTCCGAAAGTTAGGGGTACCTTATTTTGGGTCCCTTATAATAAGGATCCTACTATTTAGGCTACTATATTGGGGTCCCCCATTTTCGGAAACTCCAATATGTTCAACCCTCTTCAAACCTTGACCCTAAAGGGAGGTTGGCGCGTAGCCGTTCCCGACAGGTGTCAGTACCCTGCCCTGAAGTGGTTGGGGAGATTAGACATTTTGGTTCTGGGGTTCCTGTTTCGACTGCCGGATTTGGTGCAACTCCAAACCCTGAATTTGAGGATCGGGATAATTACTCCAGGACTACGACAGTACGCCTATCTCTCATGAAGGGCCTCCTGAGGTGGTCTTACAGCTTCTAAGGTCTGCAGCTGTTCGCCAGCCCAAACTCCAACTTGAAGCCTCGTGTGGTTTCTTGAACGCGGTCACGTTTGTCTGTCTGTCGGTCTGTCCGTCTGTCTGTTCATTTATCAATCTGTCGATCTGTCTACCTGCCGATCTGCCGATCCATCTATCTCGCTATCTATCACTTACAGCGGCATGGCAGGAATGCGCTCGTGAAGGCAACTACGACGCTAAATCTTATACCCTAAGCCCCAAACCCTTAGCTTCCCATGCTCCGGTGCAGAGCCGACATGCGGGCTGAAGGACTGGAATCAGATCGCCCAGTGCCCGTGACCCCGACAGCTCGAAACCCGAAGTAAGCCAATGAGGTCCACAGACAGTCAACTCGTCCGAGATCGAATATTTCATCTGACGCTTTTGAGCCCTAAGTTGCCCCATGAAGAGCTCTGAGCGCAGATTCTGATCCCATCCTGAATCTCACACCCAGGCTTTGTGTCCATCGTGGTGGCTCAGATTTTGGAGGTCGAGCACGCAGAGGCCAGGGGAGTGTTGCATGCGTCTGCTGGTGGGCTTGTCATTATGGCTGCCATGTTTGTGGCTAATTAATTAGAGTGCTTTTGTTTTCGGTGCGTGTGTGGGAGAGATTTGTTTTGCCAGTGTGCGCATGTGCATGTCAGTATTTTCTTGCTTCCTTTCCCTGCCATGCAGCCACGAAGTACACTGGGGGAGTCAGATGTGGTGCTTCTTCGGATCACAGATGATTTTCCCGCCATAGATATAGTAGTTAAGACCGCACATGCCAAGAAGGTTCCTGAAGACACTATCGACTACCACAAGTGGGAGTACGACCAGCATGACATGGGTTACAGAAGTAAGACGTCGTTGCTCCCCAGGCCATTTCGCACAGCATAACTTCATCCTGTGTTACCTTCTGTGCGGTGCTTCCGTTCTTCGTTTTTCCCTTTCTTCGTGCTCGTTCCCACTCTTTTGTTTTTCTCTCTCTCTCTCTCTCTCTCTCGCTCTCGCTCTCTTCTTGCCTCTCTTTCTCTGGCACTTCTCTCCGTCGGCCTCTTGTTGCGGCTCGTCGCCTGCCGAAGCTTTCAGGAGGGATCCAGCAAGCGAAATGCACCCCAAATTAGCTGAGGCCTGAAATGACAATACCATAAACCCTAAACTCGAAAACCTCAATTTCCTATACTAGATGTGACGTCTCACAAGCGACTGATCTCCAGCCCACGGTGAGGTCTGGGCGCTTCTGAACCCCAAACCGTAAACCCCTAGGTGGATACCCCAAGACTTACGCCGTAAGACCTTGAACTTAAGCCCCAAACCTTGCTCTCGAACACAAACGCCTAGTTCCTACATCTTACCCCAGGCCCTAAACGCTCAACCCAACCAACCCTTAACCCCGAAACCCTGGAAACGCAAGCCTGCCTTGAACCAGTACAGAAACAGAGAGGCGCTCGAAGAAGCCGTCGACCCCCAGAGCAACAGAAGCGCCTTCGCCTTGTTCAATACAAGCACCGGGGTTCCTTGGTATACTAGTATATATATATATATATACATACCAGAACCAGAGTTATTCTAAGTAGTAAGGCCCCTGTATTGAGGGTTCAGGGTTTGATGTAGAAGCCAGCAAGTCGGGATGTCATTGTTCTCATGGCCTCTCCCTAGAGAAGTCCAGCACTTGTCGTCATCCTGAATACATGTTCCAAGTTTTCGGAGTTTGGCAAAGAGGTCAGTTTAGGGCCTTGGGTTATACGTGAGCCTTAAGACTTGGGGCCTTGGCAGTTAGAGCTTGACTGTTTTTTTGTGAGATGTCGGTGGAAAGTGCGTGTTGATGGACTTTGCGCTCAGGGTTGAGGATTGCTTGATCCTGTAGTTCGCTGCTGCAGAGGCAGCAGTTCAGCTGTTCAGGTTCTAGACCAGCACAGTACGACAGGCAGTGGCACCGTTCTATCGTAGAGTTGGCCTAAGAGCTATAGGTCGTAGACAAAACCTCGAGAACCGATAAACACGATCACCCTCTAACATGGTTGGCCCCTGGTGGTGTCCCCGTGGAGCCTGCAGGGTCCCTGCCGCGGTCTGTGTGGGGTTGTTATGTCGATCTGCATCGTAGATGGCCAGCACATCATGCATGTGATAACGTGTAGGTCGCAACCGGCGGAGCTTGCTTGTTGTTCCTTTAACATCCTCTGTATGTGTGGTGTCTTGTGTGTCAGCTGCGATCCTCGTGCATTGGCTGGGTTTTGGACCTGAACAGCTTCTGCCTGTGCGAAGAAAGTGTCGACAGCAAGCTTGTTGGTGCTGCTTGCTTCGTATCAGCTGTCGTATTCGTGGAATTTGTCAGCTGGCATGTTGAACATGTTGTTGTGGGCTGAAACCACCGGGCAGCTTCTGACTATACCGCTGCAAGACTGCATCCTGAAGTTGTACCCACGTCTTCCTCTGAAGTCTGTCGATGCTACTGGGCTCATCGATATGTTCGTGGCTACGGAGTGGCCTGTGCGTGGTGCGGCTTGCTGCGTGTAGATATCGTGCTTGCTACTCTGTAGTTACTTCGTTCGGCTGCATCCAGAGTGTTGTAATCCCACATCTCCAAACCGCGGCTTGCTTCGGCGAAACGCAGTGACAGGGCATCTTGCATTGGTCCACGCTGACAAAGGACAGATGCGGGCGAGGAACACCAGCCCCCAAACTAAAACTACAACCAGGGCATGATCCATCCTTACTCACTGTCACAATTCATAGGGACCTTTAGGGGGGTAGGGGGGAGGCGGGTAGGGAGGACTTAATAAGAGTCCCCTACCCCCTAAGGGTCCCTATGAACACTTGTCCTTGGTCGTCGTATTTTCCGGCGTTATCTTCCGAGCCAGGTCAGCCGGCTCAGGTTGGGAATGAAGAGGCACCATCGAGTCCTGCACCATCGAGTCCCCAGGACCGCGGAATGTGAAGTCTGGGATTTCAGGCAGTTGTGGTCAGGATTAGGGATTCCAGCTTTCACTGCAGGTTTGGCCATAAGTTTGCGGAGTTTTGCCACAAGGTGGGTCAGAGAAATCTATGCGTTCGAAGGGATTAGGGCGCGGCGATGGGTTCCCTTCCCATAATGGTGACAATCAGCAGCAACAACGGTAGTTCCGTGATTGTAACTTCTTCTTCTGCTACTGCAACTACTACTCCTACTGGAACTGCAACTGCGACACCCTACACAACTGGATCCCACGATGAGGACGAACTCTCGGAGCGTCCTGGCATCTACGCCATCCTCCGCAGCGCGGCAGTCGTGCCAACAGTGCAAGTCTTACGATTCTCGGGGGGTTGGGGTCGTTTTGTCCTTGGCATCTGATCCCGTCTTGCAAAGCCATATAGACTCATATAGGCCTGCTAGAAGTTTTCACATCAGAGCCAAATGAGCCAAATGCATTGTCTAGGTTCCAGGACATCTACTCCGGTTTCTATTTTTGTGTCGTGAGGCAGAATCGATCGGATGCAGCCGATAGCCTTCTGCGGCCACAAGCTTTGCTAATGAAGTTAAAGCCCTGCTCCTTACCTCGAGCCTTTGCTTTGATGATTGCCAGATAGATACAATGCCTCAGTATGACACTATGATGTTGATGCCTCCCCTACTAAAAGTCCCTCTTAGTCAGGTGCACCTGCAAAACCGTGCACACTTGATGCTCCGGGCTGGCCACTTAGCATGGGCCTTCTTATCGAGACCAACAGCTTCGCTTTTCTTCTTGGACAAGTCAGTTTGGGCTCGATGCTGCTACACCGCGACCCAGTAAAGACCCGCATTTGTTCATGCCCATGTGCGAAATGCTGGTTCGTGTCTATCCCGCGCCACATCCTCTCAGTCTCACTCGCGTGCTAGATCATCACACCATATGTCCCCGATGGCCGTATTCATGGAGTATTGCTCCAACTGTCGCCAGTGACCCAGCCGTTCTTGCAGGCTTGACTAATACTATTGCTGCGTACTGTATGTGTAGTTTGCTGCTACCACAGGAAAATGATGAAGATAATGAGGAGGAAGATGCCGATGGTGATTGTGAGGAAGATGATGATGACGCTGGCAGCTATAGATTGTGGAAGTGGCGGCAGAAGATGGTCCTGAGGATGCGACTGAAAGGGCGATGAATCCCCTAATCATAGACCCAACAGCCCTAAACACTGGAACTGCCGAAAGCTCTATCTCCAAGAATTCCTAGAGAAACCCTGGAACCGGAACTCCAAAATCCAAAACGACCCACAAATCGGAGTTTCCGAAAATAGGGGTACCTTATTTTGGGGTCCTTATAATAAGGATCCTACTATTTAGGGTGCTATATTAGGGTCCCCTATTTTCGGAAACTCCCAAATAGCGAAGCAGCCGCTCCCGACATGGTGGAAACGTGCTGAGGCTGGAGACTTGGTGGAAGTGACAGAAGTCGTTTACAACAAAGACGAGATGAGGTGTCACTCTTACTTTCTATGCAGGACATTCCCAAGTTTTAAGGGTGAGCGTCTCGGGCTACTGTCGTTGCAATTCTGTGTGGCGCCTGGCCATGTAGTTTGGTTCTCGGCAGCAGTCGTAGCAAAGATGCTTGTCATGCTTACAGCGCTGGCATTGATGGGAGGAGCGGGCTCAGAACTTACTGTGGCATTTGTTGCGCGGCAGTAGCTTCAGCAGCAGTAGCAGTCTTAGAGAGAGGACACGGTTCCTTGCAGCAGGAAACCACATAATGACGGTGCTAGCGACGCTCAAATTGAAAACGTGGTAACATGTACAACAGTGGACAAACTCTGACCGATGGGATTTCATGGTAGTCGTCAGACTTGGGCCTTTTTCTCGCATTGTATCAGGGATATGGATCACATTGGGAAGACTTGCGGATGCCGCGGAGGTTTTGATACGCTGCCTTAAGGGGCGCGGACTGTGACGTCCCACCTCCACGAAGCAGGGTTCCCTGATTCCCAACACCCGATGGCTAAACGCAAGCTGGAAAGACCCAAAAGCCCACCTTGTCTGCGAGGCTCTAAGTGTCCCAAAAGTCCCAAAACCCTCGAAGATCAACCCAAATCGAACCTCCCAAGCCTAAATGGGCTTCTGGCTCTGTGTCTCCAGATCCGCAAGCTTCCTACAGCCCCCAATGCTCTGAACACTGAACTCCAAGCCGCCCAAAAAAAATCATCTAAGGTGTGGGGATCCCAGACCCTGAACCCTAAATCCTTAACCCTGACGAAAAATCCTTAACCCTACAGCAAGGCTCAGGGCTTTTCTTAGGGGTACTTACAAATAATTTTTAATTTTTGGTTATTAAAATCCCTAAGAAACAGCTAAAATTAGAATTTTGCTAGGGCTCTAAGTTCAGTATAGTTTTGGGCTTCAAGTTCCCATCCTCTGAAGGCTCCGGGGCCGCATCGTCAATCCACCAGGCCAGCTTAAAGCCTGAACTCATCACTTCATCCTAGTTTAACAGTAATTATTTGCGTTACCTCTATATGTATACATATATATATATATATATAAATAAATATGGTATCCCCCCCCCCCCCATGGATCTACCTTTTTCGTGTGTTTGTGAGCCACATCCCACGAAAATGGAAGATCCTTGAGGGGAGGGCCTCCCGATGGACCGTTTTGTGGTTGGGTGAACCCCACCCTGGCCCGATTGAGTTCAATCGGGCCGATTGAATTCAGTCGCCCCCCCCCCCCGATTGAGTTCAATCGGGGCCGATTGAGTTGAATCGGGCGCCGGATTGAAGATTGAAGATTCCCTCGAAAACTTTGCCGGGGAATCTTCAATCTTCAATCTTCAATCCGGCCCCCGATTGAGTTCAATCGGGGCCGATTGAGTTGAATCAGGCGCCGGATTGAAGATTGAAGATTCCCTCCAAAACTTTGCCGGGGAATCTTCAATCCGGCCCCCGATTGAGTTCAATCGGGGCCGATTGAGTTGAATCGGGCGCCGGATTGAAGATTGAAGATTCCCTCGAAAACTTTGCCGGGGAATCTTCAATCTTCAATCTTCAATCCGGCCCCCGATTGAGTTCAATCGGGGCCGATTGAGTTGAATCAGGCGCCGGATTGAAGATTGAAGATTCCCTCCAAAACTTTGCCGGGGAATCTTCAATCCGGCCCCCGATTGAGTTCAATCGGGGCCGATTGAGTTGAATCGGGCGCCGGATTGAAGATTGAAGATTCGCTCGAAAACTTTTGCCGGGGAATCTTCAATCTTCAATCCGGCCCCCGATTGAGTTCAATCGGGGCCGATTGAGTTGAATCAGGGCCGCTTGACTGCAATCGCGCTTCGTCCCTAATGGGCGGGGTTTCAGGTTCAGGGTTGAGGAATTTGAGTTTTATGTGCCGAACGTGTTTACCAGGATCTCGAGTGCTGCGTGTTGGTGAGCGGTTTTTCAAAATGATGGCAAGCGTTCATTTTTTGGTCTGTGAATATTGGTGAAATCACCAACGGGTATTCAACAGGATTCATAAAGGTATAAAGGGTTTTTATAATCTATGGGTATCTATATGAAATTTTAAGGATGTAAAGAAGGAGTATCGTGTAAGGTGTTCTATATGCTCTTGTTTTTTATTTCTTCATTGGGCACATAGCAGGTACAGCGCAGGGCATTCTGCTCCTGATTATCCTGCCATTAATCCGTTATCTATAAAGTATTCTACAAGGCATTCTATGGTGCATTCTACGGGTATGTTATAGAATATCCGTTAGGTTTTCTTTAGGACTTCCTGTGAGGTACTCAGAGGGTCTCATAGATATTGTGTATTCTGTAAGCTAGTCGGTAGGGGATTGCAAATGATATTGTACAATGCCTATAAAAGGCCAAGTATGGAACGTTGTTTTGGGCTCTCTATCGGGTACTCCATAACGCATTGTATAAGGGATTGTACAAGGCATCAACATGAACGTAAAGATTATCTTACAGAACGTGTTCTACAACGTAATGTGCCGGCTATACGGCTATAGGGTACTCAAGAAGGTATCTATGAGGTATATAGGGGATATTCTATAACGTATTACCTAGGGTCACCTGTACGAAATTCTTTGGGGTTTGTGGTATCTTTTAAATTATTCTCTTCGACTCCTGGATCACTCCTAGAAATCCCTTACCCAATAGGCTGCTTCTTTATGAGGGGTTCTCAGATCTTGGGCTCGCTGAAAGGTTATCTATAGATACTCTTACTTCCCAAATACCTATGGGGGTGTAAGAAGTTTAAACTTTCGCAACAAGATTACCTTATTAGGGGCCAAAAGTTGAAAAGTTTGGTTTGGAGCCACTAAATCTTATATGGGTTCATGGTATATATATATATATATACTGTATACAACGACTGTCATGTATAGGGCCATATGGGCATCCTGTGAGGTCTTCTATAGAGTATTCCAGACGGTCTTCCATGAGGCGCACGACATACAGAGGGTACTATGTGTTCCATAAGGTATTCTGTAGGGTATTCTATGTCGTATTTTGTAAGGTATTCTAGATATTCAAAAGATATACGGGCTGTGACTGAAAGTACATGATAAGGTATTCTAGAGGCTCTAGGGTATTCAATAAGGCATGAGGGTATTCTATATCAGTGCATTCCACATGAAAGGTTTTGCGATATATGGAGAAAGTATTCTAAAGGACATCCTGCAAGATATTCTATATAGTGTCTTGTATAGAGTGTCCTATAGGCTATGTGTAATATAATGCGTGCAGGGTGTATCATATATAGGTGGTCTTGTAGACGGTATGCGACAGGATATTCGGGTGGATTTCTATAAGATATAAAGGTTATGTGAGTGGAATTTTGCAAAGTATTCTTACATGTAATTTAAAGGGTACTATATTGGTGAAATACAAGGTATTGAACCCCGGAAATATCGATAGATTTCGTGTTCACGGATATTATCTATAATCCCGATGCGTCTTATATATGGGAGGTGTAGAAATAGGGTCCTCTTTTCATATCTATACTTGTCGTGATACGGGATGACATATCTTTGCTCTCCTGTTGCGTGTTACCTTCACAGCCCATACTGCTGCATGCACTAACCTATACACACACACAGAACATGCATGCAACCTTGCGTTCTTTTGCAACACGAGAAGAAGCCGTACGCGAATGTATGTCGCTTGAAAAAACTCAGTGTGTATATGAAGGAAATGCAGAATTTAGGATCTGCGAAATCTTTGATCGAGTCGAAGCGTATTTAGTGAAGGACTTATAAAGAGAAGGGAATACTTTATAGAATATGCAACTATTTCCCATTCGGCTCTCAAACACACGAAAAAGGTAGATCCTTGAGGGGGGGGTAGCTATATGGTATCTATATATATATATATATATATATATATATATCTTACTAATCACTAGCTACTATTGCTTCGATGTTTAGTAATTAGTAGCACACTGCAAACTTATTATCGTTATTATTGTTCTGAATGGTGGCTGTTTTGTTGCCGTGGCAGCAGCCGTGAAAGAGTTACTGCTTTGACATCCGTGCGCATCAGTTTTGTGATTAGTAGCATGGTCGAAGGTTCTGATAGCCCAGTCTCAGTATCAGTACTGCTGCCACGGTGTTTCGTGTCTGCTGATAGTAAAGGCCTCGTCCTCTGCATTTCTAGAAGCCGCAAAGGTTACCGTTCTTGCACGTCGAGTGTTGATGGCATTTTGCTTAGATGCACCCTGTACCTTTTCTCAGACAGCAGACTGAACAGCGTTTCGGGCCGAGATTCAAATTTAAGTTTCAGGATCTAGGATGGTGGAAAGTTTCCCGAGATTACCGGCTCAATGGCTGATATGACTCTTCCCATTGCCAGTCTTGCTCTTGGCATTGTCGAAATGTTTAGGGTTTAGGGTTCTGGTTTCTTTGTTGTTAGAGGCATGTTTCTTGTTACCACAAAAAGGTCAATAATATCATCGGTTACAAAGTCTGAACCCGAGCATGTCTCCGTTCGGATGTGGAATGCCGGCCTGGCTTAAAGGACAACTCAGGTATTCTTTACACCCGAATCAACTCCAAACCTCAACCCTTCCTGCTGACTCGAGCCCTGCACTCAAAAAATGAACATGGACAGCCACGTGCCCCTTGCATGATAATGAAATAAATGAATCCTTAGCCGCTTCACGGATCCAGGCGATTTTGCAAGCGTGTTGGGCTCTCTTGGAAGACGTCTGACATGAACCCCAAAGAAGCCACAAAGCTCTTACTTGTACTTGACTTCGAGCCTTTTCAGACACAGAAATGCAGGCCAACTCTCAGCCCCTCGGCCCAACAATCCCCTGTAGAACCCGTCTAGAACCCTTAGAGTCTAAACGAGGTACCCATACCTGCGCTATCCGGGGAGGTTGGATCAGCATCCTCGACCTGGACGATGGACATCGCTGGGCCGAGCGGCAGGAGGTGACGTAGCCTAAACTCTACACCCAAATTTGCGACTTAAGTCTTAGGCTCGAGTAAGGCTTTGGAATAGGGTGTACAAGTATTTTACAGGGGCCGAAGTTATCTTCTGATCACCAGCTTTTCCTTCGGCCCCGTTGGTGGACCGCTTATTGGCCCCGAGATTTGATTCTGACCCCCACTGACACGAATCTTGACGGCCACCTACAACATATAGCACCTAAAGAAAATGTTGACGGATTCTGGACGGGCTGCCGCACTTTCTACAAACACTTGTCTATGTATGTATAGTTATACATGTATATGTATATGCATACACTACATAAGTTACATTTCATTACATACATGTATGTATATGTATATATGTGTACATGTGCATATGCATGTATGTGTATACATATGTAAGGATGCATGTGTTTGTGTTTGTGTGTGTGTTTGTGTGCTTATGTCATATATATATATATATATATATAATATATATATATATATATATATATATACATATTAGAACATACAGGCACACATACACCCACATACATACCTACATGCGTACATACATACATACCTTCACACACACACACACACACACATATATATATATATATATATATGCATGCCTGCATGCATACGTATATATATATATATATATATATATATATATATATATATATATATATATATATATATATATATATAAATATGCATGCCTGCATGCATGCCTGCATGCATACGTACATACACACAGACACACATATGCATGCCTGCACGGGTACGTACTTACAACACACATACATACATATGTATGTATGTGTATCATGCATGCTGCGTGTGTTCCTGTGGATGGGAGGGGGTGCTTGACAAACCTTGTTCTTTAGTCCCCTTCCCCGAGCTTCATCGGTCAGGACGCTCCCGACGTCGAAGAGAACTTGGTAAGGCTGATGGTCTTCGTCTTCCTCTGGGTGCCGGGCGCTCAATTCCGAAGTTGTGTCATACAAAATAGCTGTCGATTTCCAAGCAAGTCAGCCATTCTCAGATCAAGAGAGTGCAATACTCTTTCAAGTATCATTAAGCGACCATAGCCGAACAACCGTGATCCTTAGAATAGTGTTTGGGCCAAGGGAGCAGACATGAAAGGTGCCAGAGCTTTGCGGTCTGTGGTCATAGGACCTGAGGGTTGGTGTCGTGCTCCAGATATTCGGAATCCTGCCCAGGTTCCGTAGGCTTCAGCAGTAGCCTTAGTGCCATCTCATCGCCACGAATCGTGCAGATGCATGTGAATGCTGCTACTGGTGCTGTATACTGCTCCTTTCACCTGGCGTTAAAGCTGTGATGTTAGTCGTCGTCCCACTAGACGATTCTTGAGGGATGGTTGTGCCATTGTTGGGGGATGCTTATAAGAATGACAATGAATGTACCAAGTACCAACAGCAATCTCTACTAGATTCCGTTTGCATGAATTTCTGAATGCAATTGTAGCACCAGCAGTCGTGATTCTAATTTCGTTGCCTTCGACGCGTTGAGGTTCACGGCACCCACAGTGACCAAGGGCGAGGAATAGAGCAGCACCACTCACATGTTCTGCATAGACTTTGGACTCTTTTGTAACTTGTCTTGAAAAAATCCCAAAACAGCGCGCCTTTCTATGCAGGCTGTTTGGCACTCGAAAGAGTGCTTGCCTTGAGGCATCTTCGGGAACCCTGTTAAAGCCCTCATGCTTAACTGCAGTAGCCATATGAGACTGCAAAACAATAACAACAACCTTAGACCCACACATAACTTTTTCAAGCCCGTAGGACCCTGAATCCCAAAAGCCCCAAGAAAGCCAACTTAGGAGCTGTATCTTCACCTTGTTGGTGCTGCCTGCACCACCTATGTCACTGCAGGCACCGAGGTTTACTGTTTAGGTAGGGCTTATGGCTTGGGATCCCGGCTCCTTCTGTGATTTTCAGGGCACAGGCAAGGCGAAAGGTGCAGGACGTTAGGTTTGGAAAGCTTGGGTAAGTTAAGGTTCAGGGCTTTGACAGATTTTCCATTGCTGGGGAGTGGGCTGAGAGTGGGGTTTGTTCTGGTAGGTTCGGACTTTGCCAGTTGCTTCGCACCCTACTATAGGGGCCTCATCAATTATCTGTACTATTTTGGGGGTTCCTTATTGTACTTACAGTATACTGGCCCCAAAACCCTATTCTAATTTTTAAGGCCCCTACATTATAGAACGCTTCTATAAATCCCTTTTTGAACCCTTTAAAGGGAACCTGGAACCCTGTTCTAGTTGTTGAGGCCCCTATATAAAGCTCCCTCCGCATCCCCGCCTTCGACCCTAAGCCGCAACACCTGGCACCCTAAGAAATGAAGCCCAAACCTGTGACCACTGCAAGCTTTAAGCCCAGTTCTAGCAGAGCATCTGTTGAACCTTAGTAGAAAGGCCTTAATAATTAGAATAGGGTTGTGGGGGATATCATACTATAACTATAGTTAATAAAGAACCATCAAAATAGTATAGGTGAGCCCCTGCATTTGGCTTTTATCCGGAAACCCTGAAGCCGTTGGACCACCAGCATTTTCGCCTTTCGCCTCTCAACTCGAACCTCCTCTTCAGAATCTCCTACTCGGAGGCTCATGGGACTTAGTAAGTAGGGTTATAAGTACCTTGAGTTGGGGTTATAAGTAGATATAACTACATTATAACCCTACTTACTAAGTCCCATGAACCTCCAAGTAAGCCTGGTTCCGACAACTCCTGGAATAAAC